CAGACTGACCCGAACTGGTGTCCCCGCGTTCATTGAGCCACAAAATTTAACTCAAAATGAATCACAGACTTCAATGTAGAATGAAAAACTATAAAACTCTTAGAAGGTAACATAAGGGAAAAACTAGATAACCTTGGGTATGTCAATGACTTTTTTGACACAACACCAAAAGCATGATCCATTAAATAAGTGATGGATAATCTGGACTTCATTAAAATTTAAAACTTCTGATCTATTATAGACAATGTCATTAGGATAAGACAAGTTACAGAATAGGAGAAAATATTTGCAAAAGGCATCCTATATAATAAAACCATAATATGCAAATTGACTGAAAGGTGGAATGACCAGTCATTGTGACAAGCACTGACTACCAGGGGGCAGATGCTCAATGCAGAAGCTGCCCCCTGGTGGTCAGTGCGCTCCCACAGGGGGAGCGCAACTCAGCCAGAAGTCAGGCTTACAGCTGGCGAACACAGTGGTGGAGGTGGGAGAGGTCCCCCATGGTAGCACTAAGGACCCCTTGGGGGATGTCCGCCTGCCTGCTTAGGCCCACTCCCCGCCACTGAGGGGGGTCCTGGATGTGAGAGGGAGCAGGCCGAGCTGAAGGAATGCCCCCCCCCTTCCACAGTGCAACGAATGTCAACCGGGCCTCTAGTATTTAATAAAGGACTATTATCCAAAACATGCAAAAAAACACAAACACCCTCCTAAAACTCAACAATAATAAAACAACCTGATTTTAAAAATGGCAAAAGACCTTAACAGACACCTCACCAAAGAAGATTAACAGATGGAAAATAAGCATCTGAAAAGATGGTCTCCATCATATGTCATCAGGGAAATGCAAATTCAAACAATGAGGTACCACTACACTCCTATCAGAATGGACAAAATCTAGAACACTGGCTACATCAAATGTGGAGCAACAGGAACTCTCATTCATTGCTGGTGGGAATACAAAATGCTACAGTCACTTTGGAGATAGTTTGGCATTTTTTTACAAAAATAAACATACTTTTACCATACGATCCAGCAATTGTGCTCCTTGGTATTTACACAAAGGAGTTGAAAACTTATGTCCACAAAAAACCTGCATCCAGATGTTTACTGCAGCTTTATCCATAATTGCCAAAGCTTGGAAGCAACCAAAATGTTCTTCAGCAGGTGAATGGATAAATTGAAGTACATCAAGACAATGGAATATTATTCAGCACTAAAAAAAATGAGTTGTCAAGCCATGAAATGACATAGAAGGATGCCGTAGACCAATTCCAGCATGTCATAATTTCAAGAGTTTCATCAAAAGGTTGATGAGACTTGGGGACTCAACAGGGTTGAGTCACACATGTAGTCACCTGTTGGGAATGGCTAAAGGCATTTCCCCAAACCTGAATAGGAAACTGATTGTGGCTGCCAGACAGTTAAAGGGCATCTTAATCTACATGTTATTGCCTCCTCCTGGCCAATCACCTGAACAGCCGTAGGCTATTCCCCAAACTGACAATGCTTCTGTACCCTTTGAAACCTTACCCTTTGAAGTGTATTATCTCCACCTTGCCTTAGGACAAATTGTGTTAATAAAAGCAAGGGTCCTAGACAAGGAGGGAGTCTTCAGTTCCTTTAGCTGAAGGTCCTCTGACCCCCAATGCCTTTCAAAATTATATCTCGTCTCTGGACTCTTTATTAGTCTCTGGATTCCTATGTCATCTACGCGCAGCCCCTTTTTCAGATTCCTGAACGCTTCTTGATGCTGGGACATGAACCCTGGCAGAAGAAAATAAAATTACTACTAAGAGAAAGAAAACAATTGAAAAGGCTCTATACTGTATGATTCCAACTATATGACATTCTGGAAAATGTACAACTATGGAGATTAATAAAAACAAAAATTTGTTGCCAGGGTTTGGGGTTGGGGAGGAATTAATAGGGAGAGCACAGAGGATTTTTAGGGTAAGGAAAATACTTTGTATGATACTGTAGTGGTGGACACATGTTGTTATACATGGATACATATATATGTAAGAATTTGTCCAAACCCATAGAATGTACGACACCAACAGTGAGCCCTAATGTAAACTATGGACTTGGGGTGACTATGCTATGTCAATGTAGGTTCATCACTTGTAACAAATGTACCACTCTGGTGAGTGATGTTGATAATGGGGCAGGCTATGCATGTGCCCCTACGCAGAGTGTACTGTATATGGGAAATCTCTGTACCTTCTTCTCAATTTTGCTGTGAACCCAAAACAGCTCTAAAAATATTGTCTTTAAAAAATAGAAACATTCAGTAGAGCACAGACTAACAGATCAGGATTTGGTAGCTTTGTGAGGTCCCTCTTTGTGTGTAGTTTTGTTGGGGTGGAAGGGAAAATCTAGAAGGCTATGGTGTGGCCGACTGTGCATGCTCCTGGCGCCTGGACGGTAGTGAAGGAGGCAGGGCCTGGATTGAGGGAATAGAGCAGCGGTAAGGACACCAGAGCCAGGCTGAGTGTGTCTGAGGATGGGATTCAGGACAAAGCAGGGCTCAAGCCAAAGAGGGAGCAGATGTGGGGTCTCTCTGGTTTGGGGTCCTGATTGAGGTTGGGAATAGGTGGGAAAGAGATCATTCATTGCTCTTTCTTATTCAGATTTTGTTCTCCCTAAACCAACTGAAATGGAAAAAGGGACTAGGTTGGAAAAATAACAAGTTAGTTAGGAAAGAAACTATATTAAGTTACCATAGACTTCTGGGAAATTAGCATTCCTCCTTTGTATCCTCTCCTCCGACCCACCTGGAAACATACCAAGTGATCAGAAACCTTAGTCAGAAGGATTCATTAGGTTTTATCATAATCTCAGCACATTCAATCAGATGGTTCAAATATGTAACTATTTAATTTGGAAGACAAGAATTCTCTTGATTCAAGCTAATGGCATTATAATATAATAATATTCATATTATTCATATTTGGAATGACATAAAGCAGATTTGAAGTTATTTCCTGAAGTAGAAATTACAGTAGAATAATTTCTGCTGAAAGCATAAGAAACTAGGAATACTATGTTATCTAACATGTTAGAAATTCATAGCAACTGCTGAAAAAAATGAAATCATTTTTACAATTCAACATTAAAAATAATTTAAAGTACTGATCTTTTACAGGTCCAACCTCCAAACAGGTGCTTCTTTCTAACGGCTTGAGGTGCATTTTTCTTTGAGTTAAACTGTCGATGCTGTGCTCACATACAAGCACTTCCCATTGCCTTTCTTTTTCAAAATGGAAATCTCTCTCTTATTTTGCCATATTTGATTATTTGTTTATGTAATTTAATCAATTCTTCTACCAACTTTAAAGTGTTTTCATTTAAATAGAAGTAGATATATACATACATACATACATACATATATAGTTTTCTTATTTTCAAACTAGTACATGTCTATGTTAAAATAAGTTTCAAAATTCAGAAAACTATAAACATGAAAAAATTTTCTCTATAATCCTACTATTCAGAAATAATTGCTGTTATTATCTTATTGTATACCATCTAGGCATTTTCTATGCACAAAACAGTTTTTAAAAACATAAAAATGTACTATATTATGATACTGCTTAATAGTGTCCTCTTTTTCTACTTTATATTAAATCTTAGACATTTTTGTATGTCCATACAGATTAGATTACATTGTTACTTTTAATTGCAGCATAAATTCTATTATGGGTATACCATATTATTTTAAACAATTCTTCTATTGATGGTGATCATTTAAGTTTGTAATTTTTTACTCTTATAAATGATACTTTATGAACATGTTTGCTTATATCTTTGTACACTTGTCCAGTTATTTCCTAGAATAAATTCCTAGGAGAACAATTGCTGGGGCAGAAGGGTACTTTAAGGGTTTGAGATATATAAATTTCCTGCTAATTGGGTTGTAGCTATCTGTATTTCCAGCAACAGTTTATGGGAATTCCTGTCTTTTTCACAACTTCATCAATGCTAGGTACTTTCAATTTTTAAAATCTTTACCTATAACAATAAAAGCATAATATGCTAATTAGACTGGACATCCTTCCTTCTGGACAAAGCCGCAGTGGGCGGGGGCCGTGGCAGTGTTGGGAGGAGGCTGGGGCCAAGGCCCTTGCATGAATTTTGTGCATTGGGCCTCTAGTGTGATATAATAAAATAGCATCTTGCTGTTTTAACTTACTTTTTTTGATTACTAGTTATGTTCATTATCTTTTCATAGGTTTTTTAGAAGTTTTACTCTTGTTTTGTGAATTTGCCCATTTTTCTGTGGATATTTGTCTTATTGATTTACAAGAGCTTTTTATACAGAAGGCTGCTTATTTTTTTAATCATATGTTGCAAAACCTATTTCCAAGCGTGTCATTCACATTTTAAATTTGTTTATGATGTTTTGAGGTTTAGAAGTTTCAACTTAAATTTAATTCTTTTGATCATTTCCTTTTATAGTTTTTGGCTTTTCAGATGATATATTCACTTATATTTTCCATTAGAACTTTACTAGTCTTATTTTTAAATTAAATACATTAAATGATCTGTAATTAATTTTTGTGCAAGGGATGAGTTTTTATTCTCTTTTTTCTGCTCCTGTATTTGTATTTCTGAATAGGAAAAGCTAAAATTGGGTGTGTAACTAAATGCAGAGAAGAAGGAAACCAGAGAAATAGCAATTCTGAGTAGGTTCAGAAGTGATTGTATGACTTCCTAGAATCTACCTTTTACAGCTCTATATACAACAGCCCTGCCCAATGATAAACAGATAGGCATTTTGTGGGTAGATCTAGGTTTTTCTACCCCTTCAGTTTCTTGGAAGAGGTGCAAAAAAAGTCAGTTCTCTCAAGATTATTTGGCATAATCCTGGTTAAACTGAATTTGTAACTTTGGGCCTGTCAATGTTAAGGGGAAAAGGATTTATTTCTACTTGAGTGTATAGTATTCTAAGCAATTGTATCGGGTTTTAATTTTTTTTAAATAATTTTCCCTTTTAGACAAGAGAAATATACTTTTCCTCCTGCTTCGTCTAAGCGCCCACCCACCCCTTCAAAGTATACTGTGGGCATTCAGACGGATTATCGTGATTCCGAAGTTCAAACAGATCCGTATTCTCCAGAATATATAGTATGTCAGGATTCAATCCCTGAGCTCTTGACCCTGGCTACTCTGACTTGGGGTGAGTTGGTAATTCTCTTGCATATTTGAAGATGATAGTCCTGATAACCTTGCTGGCTATTGAGTTCCTGGAAATTCAGAGCACATAGAAGCAACTGTGGTTTAAAGTGTCTTGCTCAGTAGAGCTACTTTATACACTCATTCTTTTTCTAATACTTTACAAAAATTTAATTCTCACCTGAGGATATTTTTATTCGTTTGTTTGTTTGTTTGTTTGTTTAGAGAGGAGCAGGAGAGAGAGAGAAACATTGATGTGAGAGAGAAACATCAGTGAGTTTTCTCCCATATGCGCCATCCTGACTGAGAATTGAACCTGCAACCTTTTGGTGTACGGGACAATTGAACACCAAATCGAACCACCAATCAATTGAACCACCCAGCAAGGACCTTTGTGTGATAGTACTTTTGTTCAAAGAGAGCTGTACCCTTTTCACTGTAAGCAGGCTTATTGTACTTTATCCTTGAAGCTGATGTTATATATCGGCTAAATTTATTCCCCAATCAATGCTCTTTATTTTTTTAAGTTAAATGTATTGGGGTAACATTGGTTACTATCATTATATAATTTTCAGGTGTACAAGATTATAATTCTACATCTGTGTCTAATTACAGAAGTCTAGTTTCCTTCCATTGCCATTTATTTAACCCCCTTTACTTGCTTTGCCCTCTCACCCTTCACCCCCTATGAGTTTGTTTTTGTTTGTTTTGTTAGTTACTCTTTGTTTTATATTCCACATATGAAAAGGGAACCATTGTACATTGTTTTTTTTTCTTTTTCTTTTTATTAAATCTTTATTGTTCAGGTTATTACATTAGTTACTCTTTTTTCCCACCATAACTCCCCTCTACCCAGTTCCAACCCCACCCTCTGCCCTCACTCCCCACCCACTGTCCTCATCCATAGGTGCACGATTGTTGTCTAATCTCTTCACTCACCCCCACACCCCTTTCTCCCCGCACCCAAGAATAGTCAGTCCATTCCCTTTCTATGTCCCTGATTCTATTACAATCACCAGTTCATCAGATTATTTATTCACTTGATTTTTAGATTCACTTGTTGATAGATGTGTATTTGTTGTTCATAATTTGTATCTTTACCTTTTTCTTCTTCTTCCTCTTCTTAAAGGATACCTTTCAGCATTTCATATAATACTGGTTTGGTGGTGATGAACTCCTTTAGCTTTTCCTTATCTGTGAAGCTCTTTATCTGACCTTCAATTCTGAATGATAGCTTTGCTGGATAAAGTAATCTTGGTTGTAGGTTCTTGCTATTCATCACTTTGAATATTTCTTGCCACTCCCTTCTGGCCTGCAAAGTTTCTGTTGAGAAATCAGCTGACAGTCGTATGGGTACTCCCTTATAGGTAACTGACTTTTTTTCTCTTGCTGCTTTTAAGATTCTCTCTTTGTCTTTTGCTCTTGGCATTTTAATTATGATGTGTCTTGGTGTGGTCCTCTTTGGATTCCTTTTGTTTGGGGTTCTCTGCGCTTCCTGGACTTGGAAGTCTATTTCTTTCACCAGGTAGGGGAAGTTTTCTGTCATTATTTCTTCAAATAGGTTTTCAATATCTTGCCCTCTCTCTTCTTCTGGTACCCCTATAATTCTGATGTTGGTACGCTTGAAGTTGTCCCAGAGGCTCCTTACACTATCTTCGTATTTTTGGATTCTTTTTTCATTTTGCTTTTCCGGTTGGGTGTTTTTTGCTTCTTCGTATTTCAAATCTTTGACTTGATTCTTGCGATCCTCTGGTCTGCTGTTGGGAGTCTGTATAATATTCTTTATTTCAGTCAGTGTATGCTTAATTTCTAGTTGGTCCTTTATCACAACATCGAGGGTCTCACTAGATTTCTTAAGGATCTCAATACATTTATCGGCGGTTTCCATAAAATTCTTGAAAAATCTTAGAACCGTGGTTTTGAACTCTATATCCAGTCGTTTGCTGTCCTCCATTTCTGTCATTTGTGACCTGTTTCTTTGTCTTCGCATTTTGTCTGCTTCCCTGTGTTGGTAGAGTGGTTTTGTGTGCTAGGTGTCCTACAGGGCCCAGTGGCTCAGCCTCCCCAGTTACCTGAGGTGGACACTCTTGGTGCACCCCCTTGTGGGCTTTGTGCACAGTCTTGTTGTAGTTATGCCTTGATTGTTTTAGGTGTCACTGGGAGGAATTGACCTCCAGGCCAATTGGCTGTGAGAATCAGCTGTGTCTGCGGTGGGAGAACTTCTGTGCTGGAGACACCCCTCTGGGGCTAGACTTGCTTCGATGGGGCTTTGGTGCTCACTGAGTCTGCCCCCTGGGTGTGTCTTTTATGGTTCCACGAAGCTGCAAGCTGGGTGGTCCCACTCTCCCATTGTACATTGTTGATGAGAATATAAGTTAGCACAGGAAAATAATGTGAAAGCCCTAACTGGTTTGGCTCAGTGGATAGAGCGTCAGCCTGCGGACTGAAGGGTCCCGGGTTCGATTCCGGTCAGGGGCGTGTGCCTTGGTTGCGGGCACATCTCCAGTGGGAGGTGTGCAGGAGGCAGCTGATCGGTGTTTCTCTCTCATCAATGTTTCTGGCTCTCTGTCCCTCTCCCTTCCTCTCTGTGGAAAATCAATAAAATATATTTAAAAAAAAATTAAGAATAGAAATACCGTGTGATCCAGCAATTTCTCTTTTGGGTTTTACCTGAAAAATATGAAAACACTTATCTGTAAATATATATGTCCCATTATGTTCACTGCAACATTATTTATAATAGCCAAGGCAATCTAAGCATCTATCCATTGGTGGATGAAGAAATAAGTCAGTCGGTTTAATTTTGTGGTTGCTTTGCTGACTACTCACTGTTTCTCCTGGTGAGTCAACTCTTTTTCACTGAGCAATCTATTTTCCTTCTTTACATATAATTTGAATGTATACTACTGAATGTATATTTCAACATGTTATAATGTTTTCTTACTTTTCCAAAATACCTCGGAATTTATCAAAGCTCTCTTACATACCTTATTGGATGATTTGGATGATTTCTTTTGATATCTCTGAAATGCTAATACCTTTCAGGCCCAGAAATTCACTATTAAAGTGTAATAAAATCTAGCCTAAGCCTATATCATGTGGAACTATAAAAATTAATAGGAGAAAGGGCCTTTAGGAATTGCTATACATTAGCTTTCAAACTCATTTGATTGCAGCTAGGAAACTGAGAACCAGAGAGGCTGACTCCTCCTGGGCCATGGGGATAGTTACCTTCCTAAACAGAGGAGGCAGAAAATTTTCTCCTGCCTAGAGGTGGATCTGAAGTCCAGTGTCTGCCTATCTAAGACTTCAGCCAGAACTGAGCCTGAGGCTTGGACTTGACCTCTCAGTGTGCTATGGGCTTAGCATTGAGCTGAGTAGGACAAGAGCCAGGTCCTCCAAAGCAAGAGATCTAGGCAGGGGCTCAGAAATGGTTCCCTAGGGCAGAGCCCCACTCCTGGGCGCACCGCGGTTGAAGTGTGCCACTGTTCAGGGTGCTCATGAGAGAAATCTGCTGATGACCTAAACCCAGGAATTACAAAGCATTTAAAGGAACACAGACACCAGGAGTGATCCACCCAAAATAAATAAAATGGAAGAATAACTGATTGAGCAAAGTAAGCAAATGGAGCAAGTTGAAAAGGACTTAGGAAGTATTTTTTAAATCCTCAAAGAGATGAAGGGGGAAATAGCAACAATGAAAGCAAGAATGGAAGCCATTAAAAGAACCAACTGGAATCATTGAAAGGACTACTAATTAGCATTAGACTTTAGTAGAAAACTATGAGTGGAAATTTCTAAGTTAAAAACTTTAGGGGTGACGTCTAAAAAAAAGGACAAATATATTGTTTCACAAATGGTAGTGGGGAAGAGAGAAAATAACAGAGAGCAGAAAAGGGGAAAAGCAAAGGAAAAACATAGTCAATAGAAAATACATAATAAGATATCAGAAAAATGTTCAAATATTTTGGTAATCAAAATACATAAAAGTGACTTAAACTTGCTTATTAAAAATATTAGTGGGTTGGACTAATACAAACCCAGCAAAAGCAGCCTGCTATCTATAAAGTAGCACTAAAATGTTGAAAATAAAGAGGTGAAAAATATACTGATAGATAACTCAAAGAAAGTTCATGTAGCAATGTTAATATTAGACCAAAGTTAGTCAGAAAACATTAAAAGGAAAAATGAAGTACATGTAATAGTTATAAAAGGACTAGAGGCCCGGTGCATGAAATTCGTGCTGGGGGTGGGGGTTGTCCCTTAGCCCAGCCTGCACCCTCTCCAATCTGGGACCCCTCGGGGGGTGTCCGACTGAACCGGGAGTCGGACATCCCTCTCACAATCCACGGACATCCCTCTCACAACCCAGGACCGCTGCTCCTAACCGCTCACCTGCCTGCCTGCCTGCCTGATTCCTAACTGCTTCTGCCTGCCAGCCTGATCGCCACCGACTGCCCTCCCCTGCTGGCCTGATCGCCCCCAACTGCCCTCCCCTGCTGCGACCCGCCTCCTCTGCCAGGACCGGCCTCCTCCATGCTGCACAGAGCCACAGGACCCCCAGGCCTCACTGCGTGGAGCGGCTGGGCCCCACCTCCACTGTGCACACAGCCATCTTATGATGACCATCTTGTGATGGCCATCTTGTGATGACGTGAGGGTGTGACGACCACACGTCCTGGGCTATTATTAGTATAGATATATCTTTCATGAACTTATAGGTAACATATGTGGGCTCAAAATGTAAAGCAAAACTTGGTTAAATCATGAGAAGAAATAGACAATTCCCTACTCATGTGGATTTTAATGTGCCTCTTTCAGACGGCCATCTTCTGATGGCCATCTTGTGATGACGTGAGGGTGTGACGACCACACGTCCTGGGCTATTATTAGTATAGATATATCTTTCATGAACTTATAGGTAACATATGTGGGCTCAAAATGTAAAGCAAAACTTGGTTAAATCATGAGAAGAAATAGACAATTCCCTACTCATGTGGATTTTAATGTGCCTCTTTCAGATTAAGCTATCAAAAATTAGTAAGGACTAGACGATTTGGGTAGGAAAGATGATTAATGTGCTTCACATAAAAGAGTTTGTGTGTGGTAAGCCATGGCCAGACTGATGTGGATCTAACTATATATTAAGAAACGGAATGTGGAAGACTTGGCTGTAGCATTGCAGGTAATTAATGGTTCTAGGCTCCTTTGACCCGGCAGATCCCTCACTATATTTGTAGTCATTTGATTTGAGAAAGATGCCACTGTGATTCAGTGGAGAAAAGGCGGTCTTTTCAAATAAATGGTGGTGAAACAATTACATATTTATGTGCAAAAAAATGAACTTTAATTCTGATTCCTACTTCAATGCAGTCTCAGTAAAAAAAAACCAACAGGTGTGTGTGTGTGTGTGTGTGTGTGTGTGTGTGTGTGTGTGTAAATTGATAACCTGATTCTAAAATTAATATGGGAATCTGAAAGGGTCAAAAGTAGCCAAGGCAAATGTGAGAAAACAGAACAAATATACACTACCAGATATAAAGACTTACTATAAAGCTTTAGTAACTAAAAACTGTGGCATAGTTGCAAAGATAGACAAATATATCATTGTTACACAATAGAGTCCAGAAATTAACTCACAGATAAATGTCATCTGACTTAAGACAAAGATGAAATGCTAACAATAAAGGGGAAAATGATAAATTAGATCACATTAGAACTAAGAACTTCTATTCACCAAAAAGCCCCCACATTTAAGACAGTGAAAAGGCAAGCCACAGATGGTAGAAAATATTTGCAAGTGCTTTACATTTTTAATTTACTTAATCTTCACAAGTTAAGTGAAATATAACTTAAATCAGAAATTAATATTATAGATCTTAAAAAAGGCAAAAGAAGTGGTCATGAGGACCATAAAGTAATTTTTTGGATAAAGATTAATAATATAGCCAAACTTCTTGTGGGAAATAGCAAGACAAAAGACAGAGGTACAAAAGTGTATTAGGATCAGCAAGGGACATAACCACAGAGTAAATGACTTAAGAACTGTAAGAAAGTACTATGCATATCTTTTGCCCTATATTTTTTTTAAAATATTTTATTGATTTTTTACAGAGAGGAAGGGAGAGAGACAGAGAGTTAGAAACATCGATGAGAGAGAAACATCGATCAGCTGCCTCCTGCACATCTCCCACTGGGGATATGCCCGCAACCAAGGTACATGCCCTTGACTTACAAAGGGTATTACATATGTGTCCTTTTTTTCCCCGCCCTTGACAATACCCCGGCTTCCCCTACCCCCCCAGTGTCTTATGTCCATTGGTTATGTTTATATGCATGCATACAAGTCCTTCGGTTGATCTCTTACTCCCCTCCCTTCTGCCCCCCAACCCTCTCTGGCCTTCCCACTGCAGTTTGACAATCAGTTTGAGGCAGCTCTGCCTCTGTATCTATTATTGTTCAAAAGTTTGTAATGGTCTTTATTATCCATGAATGAGTGAGATCATGTGGTATTTTTCCTTCATTGACTGGCTTATTTCACTTAGCATAATGCTCTCCAGTTCCATCCATGCTGTTGCAAATGGTAAGAGTTCCTTCTTTTTTACAGCAGCATAGTATTCCATCGTGTAGATGTACCACAGTTTTCTAATCCATTCATCTACTGATGGGCACTTAGGCTGTTTCCAGATCTTAGCTATGGTGAATTGTGCTGCTATGAACATATGGGTGCATATATCCTTTCTGATTGGTGTTTCTGGTTTCTTGGGATATATTCCTAGAAGTGGGATCACAGGGTCAAATGGGAGTTCCATTTTTAGTTTTTTGAGGAAACTCCATACTGTCTTCCATAGTGGCTGCACCAGTCTGCATTCCCACCAGCAGTGCACAAGTGTTCCTTTTTCTCCACATCCTCTCCAGCACTTGTCGTTTGTTGATTTGTTGATGATAGCCATTCTGACAGGTGTGAGATGGTACCTCATTGTTGTTTTGATTTGCATCTCTCGGATGATTAGTGACTTTGAGCATGTTTTCATATGTCTCTTGGCTTTCTGAATGTCCTCTTTTGAAAGGTGTCTATTTAGGTCCTTTGCCCATTTTTTGATTGGATTGTTTATCTTCTTTTTGTTAAGTTGTATGAGTTCCCTATAAATTTTGGAGATTAGGCCCTTATCAGATATGACGTTGGCAAATATGTTTTCCCACGCAGTGGGTTTTCTTGTTGTTTTGTTGATGGTTTCTTTTGCTGTGCAGAAGCTTTTTATTTTGATGTAGTCCCATTTGTTCATTTTCTCTTTAGTTTCAAGTGCCCTAGGAGCTGAAATTACACAATTTTTAAAGAAAATATAAATTACTAAGTTGGTTTCAAGAAGAAATAGCAAACATGAATAGAATAACTATAGAAAATGACTTGGTAAAAAATTTCTTTTAAGAGCACTAGGCCTAAATAGTTTTTCAGATATGTTTACCACCCCTTTAAGGAATAAATAAGCTCTATTTTATGCAAATTTTCCAGCAAATAGAAAGAGAGGATAAAGTTAATTTATTCATTTTATGAAGCTAGTGTAGCCTTAATTTAAAAACTGAATAAGGATAATACTAAAAAGGAAAACTACAGTGCTGTCTCACTTAGGAAGAAAATGCAAAAATTCTAAATAAAATACCATCAATCAAATCTTGCAGTATTTTAAAAGATGACTTGTCATAAACAAGTTGGTTAATCACATAAATTCAAGTTTAGTACATATCAGAAAACCAATGTAATTTATCATTTTAACAGAAAATGTTGGGAAAATGCTTCAATAGGTGTAAAAAAAGTGATAATATTCAACACTCATTTATGATATAAAGTCAAAATAAACTGGAATCAGAAGAAAAAGTAATATAATAAAAGGTGTCTACCATAGCCTTCAATAAATATGATACTAAAGGTGAAACTTTGGAAGCTTTACCTTAATGTGAAGAAAAGACAGTGACCCCTTCATCACCACTGTTACTTAGCAATGCAGAGAACATCCTAGCTCAGGGCTTATTGAGTTATAACCCCTTGCCCCCAGGGACATTTGGAAATATGGTGGCATTTTTATATGTGATAATGATTAAAAAGTGCTCCTGGCATTTAGCACATGGATGTAGTTGGGTGGGAGGCTGTAATAATACTTAACATCCTGTCCTGTATGGGGCAGTCCCGTGCAACAAATGATTATCCAATGTGGCAGCAATAGTACCTTGCTTGAAAAATACTGAGTCAGTGCAGTAAGAGAAAAGAAAATAAGTGAGATATGAGTATTACAAAGAAGCAAAACTATCTTTATCTGCAGATGATGTGCTCATTTAAAAAAATCAAATGAAGTAACAAATTTTTAGAATTAAGAACTTGAGGTCAACAAGATAGTTGATTATGAAATCAACATACAAACCTCAGTAGCCTTCCTATATGTTAACAATATCTAATTAGAAATATTGAAAAAATAATATTTTTAATAGCAACAAATAACAAAATACCTAGGAAATCACTTAATAAATACAGGTGCAGCCCTAGCCGGTTTGGCTCAGTGGATAGACCATCGTCCCTCAGACTGAAGGGTCCTGGGTTTGATTCTGGTCAAGGGCACATGTCCAGGTTGCGGGCTCGATCCCCAGTAGGGGGCGTGCAGGAGGCAGCCAATCAATATTTCTCTCTTGCCATTGAAGTTTCTGTCTCTCTCTCTCCCTCTCCCTTCCTCTCTGAATCATTAAAATTATGTTTTTAAAAAGTGCAAATACTTAAAAAAATAAAAATAAGCCAGTTGGAGAAAGATAAATATCACATGATCTCACTCATATGTGGGATATAATGATCAACATAATTTGATGAACAAGAATAGATCCAGAGACAAATGGCAGGGGAGGGGGGGAGGTTAGAGAGCAACCAAAGGATTTGTATGCATGCATATTAGCATAACCAATGGACACAGACACTGGGGTGTGGGGGGCTTGCCCGGGTTGGGAATGACTGGGAGGGTGTCAATTGGGGGAAAAGGAGACATATGTAAAATTGCAGACAATAAAAAAATGCAAATACTTTAAAAAATAAAAACAAAAACAGGTGCAAAGCATTTATGGAGAAACATATAAATTGTGACTTTCTGTAAATTACTTTGACATTTCTTTGTATTTCAAAAAATAGATTTGTCTAATACCGGGCATATCAAGATGTGATTGTTCAGTAGCCACATAATATTTTTCAAATATTTTCCGGCATCTTATATGCACCTAAAATTTCTTCTGGCTGACTTACTAACAAGAAGCAGTGCAGGGCACAGCTGAGAGGTACATCTAGAGCAGCAGTCAACTACCTGTGGGTCGCGACCCCTTTGATGGTCGAACGACCCTTTCACAGGGGTCGCCTAAGACCATCCTGCATATCAGATATTTACATTACGATTCATAACAGTAGCAACATTACAGTTATGAAGTAGCAACGAAAATAATTTTATGGTTGGGTCACAACATGAGGAACTGTATTTAAAGGGCCAGAAGGTTGAGGGTGTTCCCTAATATTACATCCCAACGTAACCTTAAATGTAGAGAGGACAGGAGCTGAAAAGGGAGTAAATGAAATACTGGCAGGTACATGAATTTGTCCATGTGTTTCTAAAGTGTTTTTGCTTCACCTCCAGGTCGAGGTCTCCCGGCAGGACAAGCTGAGGTGGAGATGATAGAACGTGCCCGGGAGAAGCGTGCCTGGGAAGCCACTCTCCCGCCTCTGACTGACACCACCCACTTTGAGAAGAGGAGGAAGATGATGAATGAGATGGAGAGGAAGGAGTGGGCCTTCCGAGAGCAGGAGATTGAAAAGTAGGTTCTTGATCCCCCAGGCCCGTGGTCGGCAAACCACGGCTTGTGAGCCACATGCGGCTCTTTGGCCCCTTAAGTGTGGCTCTTCCACAAAATACCACGTGCGGGCGCGCACGTACAGTGCGATTGAAACTTCGTGGCCCATGCACAGAAGTTGGTATTTTGTGGAAGAGCCACACTCAAGGGGCCAAAGAGCCACATGTGGCTCGCAAGCCGTGGTTTGCCGAGCCGTAGTTTGCCAACCACTGCCCCAGACGATGGCTCTTGCGCTGATGGAAGTAATGTTAACACTTTTTACCTATAAAGCATTTTCCCAAATGTATTAGGTTTAAAAGTAATCCTCAACCTATATAGACAGGTAATTGGGTTTCTGGTTCTTCCAGGAACAATAGCTCTACAGTTTTCTCTCCATTGATATAAAAACGTACAGTGGCCTCTGTGTGTGCAAGGCAGCATGGAACCAGCTCGGAGCAATTCCTCAAGGCACCTCTGCTTCTCCTCTTCCCTTTTCTCTTTAGTCTTTAATCTAGACTATCACAGAACCCCACTGATTTTTGCATAATGTCTTTCAAACTGTCCCTTTCAGTTCATTCCCGTGCCACTCCCCTAGGTCTTGGCCCTCCTCATATCCATCAAATAGCCTCCTAGCCGATCCTGTTTCTTATCCCACTAGTACCGGATTCACAGGCAGAACTTCGTGGGTTCCAGAGAGAGCTAATGGGGCATTTTCTATGGAAAAGCCAAATTGTGAAATTTTTCAATTGAGAGATGAGCTCACAGCACATAAGTGACAATATACTGAGGTAATATGGTTAAGTTTTCAATCATTTTAACTGATATATTTTCAGTTAATGAGGTTGTCCCTAGAATATGTAGAATAACAACTCCTTAGTAAGTAAGAAAAAAAGGGAACCTACACCAAGATTGTTCTTTTTTCAGGCTGTAATGAGGTACTTTATTACTTGTAGCAATGCTACCAAAGCCCCTGACAGCATGCTCACATATAAGAGAGTTAGGGACCAAGAGACTCTGAAACTTAGTGTGGTTCTGAATTCAAAATATGTTTATCTTTTTTTTACCTTCTGATTCACCCTGAAGCAGGACAATGTGATGTTTTGTTAAAAACTTGCAATTTAATAGAAAATAGTATTTGGAGCAAAATAGGTAGTAAATACCCAATTCTGTATGCAGAAATGTAAATTTATTGCTGCAATTTGGAGAGCTATATTATTTTAAAAAATATATGTTTTTATTGCTTTCAGAGAGGAAGGGAGAAGGAGAGAAAGATAGAAACATCAATGATGAGAGAGAATCATTGGTTGGCTGCTTCCTGCATGCACCCTACCTGGATATGTGCCCTTACTGTGAATCGAATCATGACTTTTTGTTCATAGGTCGACGCTCAACCATTTTTGCCACACCAGCTGGGCTGGAGAGCTATATTCTTGTCAGAAGAACATTAAAAATATTAAAAATATATCTGGCTAGAATGAAGACATCACCCAAGAAAGAGAGTACTTTCGTTAAACTTAGGGTAATTTTAATAAACATGTTTTGCACCTTTCCTATGTGCTAGGCTCTGTGCTGTGAGCTGGGGAAACAGGAATAATAGGAAATTGCTATGCCCTGGCAGCGTTCCTCATGGTCCACTGGAGTGGGGAGGGGCGGTGGTCAAGGATGGAGCAAAAGACCTTCAGACCAACAACTCTCCAGCAGGGCCCATTAGGTGATGTGCTCCTCTCTATACACAGTGCCAGCGGGAGCCAGGTGAGAGAACCATCAGTTCTGTCTGAGGTGGGTGAAGATTGGGGGAAACTACGAAGAGGAGGTAGCCCCTGAGCTGGGTGTTGAAGGATGAGTAAGAAGCCATCAGGTGGACAGCAATATCAGTGATGATGATGATGATGATGATGATGACGATTTCATAGAGCATGGCTCACTTATAGAGTGCTTATTATGTGCTGGAACCAAGTTCCAAGTCAATAATTCTGAACATGTGGTCCACAGACCAGCAGCAGCAGCATGATCTGGAAACTTGTTCAAATACAGATTCTCAGCTCCATCCCCCACACACTGAATCAGGGTGGGGAGCAGCAGTCTGTGCCAGAGCAAGCCCTCCAGATTATCGGATGCATGTTCAAGTTTGAGAACTGCTGTTCCAGCACGTTGTATACTGTAACTCATATTTAATGCTCACAACATCCTAATGGGATAGATACCATTATTTTGTCCATTTTGTGACTGGAGACATTGAGGCAAGTGATGAAGTTGAGACTTGAACCTAGGATTTCTAACTCTAGACGAAAGGTGACTATTGGTGTGTGGCTTACTTTTAAAAATCTCCCTCCATATTCACTTGTCCCTGCTTCCCCACCCTCACCTCCATATTCACTGTGAGAAGCCCCATCTATGACACGTTAGCTCTGTCTTGAGTCCTTCTGAGTCAGACCTTTAGCTCCCTCTGCGGAGGCTTCACCTTTCCCTTGTCAGTGTGGCAGATCTCAGTCCTTGCCTGTCCTCGCAGAGTTAAGGAAGTCCTCTAAGGAAGCCTTGCCCACCGCCCACTCCTCCCCCCTCCCCCCACCAACCGGGAATAGCTAGACGTGGTGCTATGTCTCTTCTCCCACGGAAATCTCTTCATTCTTCGCGCCTGGCGTCTATCTCCTTGTGTGGTAAATGCTGGCTTTTCTAGAAAGTGCTTCTTCTGAGAAGGTGCTTTGTCTGGCTCATCGTTGTTTGCCTGGCACATGGTGAGCACTTAATAAGTACTTGGCAAATGAATGACTGGATAAATTACTGTATGAATTTTGAAGCAGGAGTAAAATGTTTAAATCTCTATTATAGGAAGGAAAGTCTTGCTAGCTCTGTGAAACAAGGATTGAACGGGGAAAGACTGAACTGGCAACAAGAGTCGGAGTTAGGAGAGATGACACGAATGCGAGCTAGGGAATGGAGGCAAGACTCGTTTTAGAGGTGGAATCCCTGGAGGAGGGAAAATGATGTAAGAGAATGGGTAGATTTCTGGGGGAACAAAATGAGTGGGTTTTTGAAGTTGTCAGGGAATAGCTAGAGATTTGACAGAAATTCTGGCTCAGAAAGATCTGGGCTGGAGGTAAGGATTTTAAAGTCATTTGTATCTGGCTGTATGCACATGAGCAAGGTAACTCCAGGAGAACAAGGTAAAGGTAACAAAGGTTCACGAAGTACCTGGAGGTGCAGACACTGGCATTTGCACATTAACTGCTTAGGATAGCATCCCACACCCTCGTTTTCTCTTCACTCTCGTCACGTAGCCCTCCAGCAGCCAGTCGACCTGGAACTGTGCATGAACTTCTTGTTCACTTAGGCCCATCTGCCTAGAGAACCCTGATTTTGCCCCATCCATCTGGCACACTTCTTTGTCCTTCAGAACTGCACCCATATATATATTCCCATTATATACTCACCATTGAGCTGTCACCCCCAGACCACCATTTGTCACACTTTTGCTAAGGTGGTCTTTTTAAAATATGTGACTATGATACCAGTCTAAAGAGGAGACCCTATTGATGGCAGGTGCTCCCTTTCTGGTAGAACACCTGTTTGCGGTACCGTATGCTTCTTTGTGTTGTCATGTGCTTGAAGACTGCAGGAGATTCGCCTGGAAATTCTAAAAGAGCTGCTGAGGAAACGTCTCAAGAATAGCAATGAAATGACTATGAAGCACTTGAATGCCCAATGGTCTAACCTGCAGGAAGCAAAGGAGGCAAAATTGGCAAAAATTCGTCGTACACATGTATCAGGTAATGGTGTAGTATGAACAATGAAGAGAATGGAAACGTTGGCTTTGCTTTGGATCTCTGATCAAACCTGATTTAACTATGACATAATTCTGGTTTGGTCCTAGAGTTATTAAATAAGTAGCAGATGGGAGATGAGTTATTTCTCAAAAGTAGAAGAGTGGAGGAAACTTCCTTGCTAAGAAAATCAAGTAATGATGTTCTGACAAGTAGTTAAGCTATTGATGGTGTGTGTGTGTGTGTGTGTGTGTGTGTGTGTGTGTGTGTGTGTAACTTAGTGTGGTTCTGAATTCAAAATATGTTTATCTTTTTTTACCTTCTGATTCACCCTGAAGCAGGACAATGTGATGTTTTGTTAAAAACTTGCAATTTAATAGAAAATAGTATTTGGAGCAAAATAGGTAGTAAATACCCAATTCTGTATGCAGAAATGTAAATTTATTGCTGCAATTTGGAGAGCTATATTATTTTAAAAAATATATGTTTTTATTGCTTTCAGAGAGGAAGGGAGAAGGAGAGAAAGATAGAAACATCAATGATGAGAGAGAATCATTGGTTGGCTGCTTCCTGCATGCACCCTACCTGGATATGTGCCCTTACTGTGAATCGAATCATGACTTTTTGTTCATAGGTCGACGCTCAACCATTTTTGCCACACCAGCTGGGCTGGAGAGCTATATTCTTGTCAGAAGAACATTAAAAATATTAAAAATATATCTGGCTAGAATGAAGACATCACCCAAGAAAGAGAGTACTTTCGTTAAACTTAGGGTAATTTTAATAAACATGTTTTGCACCTTTCCTATGTGCTAGGCTCTGTGCTGTGAGCTGGGGAAACAGGAATAATAGGAAATTGCTATGCCCTGGCAGCGTTCCTCATGGTCCACTGGAGTGGGGAGGGGCGGTGGTCAAGGATGGAGCAAAAGACCTTCAGACCAACAACTCTCCAGCAGGGCCCATTAGGTGATGTGCTCCTCTCTATACACAGTGCCAGCGGGAGCCAGGTGAGAGAACCATCAGTTCTGTCTGAGGTGGGTGAAGATTGGGGGAAACTACGAAGAGGAGGTAGCCCCTGAGCTGGGTGTTGAAGGATGAGTAAGAAGCCATCAGGTGGACAGCAATATAAGCGATGATGATGATGATGATGATAATGACGATTTCATAGAGCATGCATGGCTCACTTATAGAGTGCTTATTATGTGCTGGAACCAAGTTCCAAGTCAATAATTCTGAACATGTGGTCCACAGACCAGCAGCAGCAGCATGATCTGGAAACTTGTTCAAATACAGATTCTCAGCTCCATCCCCCACACACTGAATCAGGGTGGGGAGCAGCAGTCTGTGCCAGAGCAAGCCCTCCAGATTATCGGATGCATGTTCAAGTTTGAGAACTGCTGTTCCAGCACGTTGTATACTGTAACTCATATTTAATGCTCAAGAGCATGGCTCACTTATAGAGTGCTTATTATGTGCTGGAACCAAGTTCCAAGTCAATAATTCTGAACATGTGGTCCACAGAACTTCTTGTTCACTTAGGCCCATCTGCCTAGAGAACCCTGATTTTGCCCCATCCATCTGGCACACTTCTTTGTCCTTCAGAACTGCACCCATATATATATTCCCATTATATACTCACCATTGAGCTGTCACCCCCAGACCACCATTTGTCACACTTTTGCTAAGGTGGTCTTTTTAAAATATGTGACTATGATACCAGTCTAAAGAGGAGACCCTATTGATGGCAGGTGCTCCCTTTCTGGTAGAACACCTGTTTGCGGTACCGTATGCTTCTTTGTGTTGTCATGTGCTTGAAGACTGCAGGAGATTCGCCTGGAAATTCTAAAAGAGCTGCTGAGGAAACGTCTCAAGAATAGCAATGAAATGACTATGAAGCACTTGAATGCCCAATGGTCTAACCTGCAGGAAGCAAAGGAGGCAAAATTGGCAAAAATTCGTCGTACACATGTATCAGGTAATGGTGTAGTATGAACAATGAAGAGAATGGAAACGTTGGCTTTGCTTTGGATCTCTGATCAAACCTGATTTAACTATGACATCATTCTGGTTTGGTCCTAGAGTTATTAAATAAGTAGCAGATGGGAGATGAGTTATTTCTCAAAAGTAGAAGAGTGGAGGAAAATTCCTTGCTAAGAAAATCAAGTAATGATGGTCTGACAAGTAGTTAAGCTATTGATGGTGTGTGTGTGTGTGTGTGTAGATGTTCCCTGGACAGAGTCCTGTTTCTCAACCTTTTATTCATCATCATTTCCTAAAATAGACATTCAGACATCTTTTTTCCTATTCACCCCCTCCCATGAAATTTTAATACACAGGTATACTGTATATCTGTTTATGTACTACAAGTATATCTGTACTTTATACATAAAAAGAGGAGTCAATGGAAGATTAAGAATGACTAAATAAAAATTTTAAAGTAAAATTTAAATTAATTACCATGAAACTTAACTTTATAGCTATATTAAGTAATTGGTTTACTTATAAAAATATTATCAATTATATATGCCAGTTAGGAATTTATATACAAATAACAATATAATCACATTTAAAAAATCATTCAAAATTGTCATTTTCTAGCAAAAGTAAAGCAATTACAAAAATTAATTCTTTAAAAATTATTTTTAGTGAGTTTAACTTTTAATTTTTTCTTGATGTGAGAAAATAGGTTTTAACTTCACTAGCTGCATTTAGATATTGTCAACATACATTTTTTCCAGAATTTGACATATTTTAATTTATTCTGGGGTTAGTCAAGATGGACAGAGATTGTTGAAAAATCTATAGTCTTCTCTTTTTAATTATTTTCCTAGGAAAGAATAATTAATTACCTTAGTCTCCACTGAGCATGTCTTTTTCAGTTACTTTGAATTTCTTTCATTTATTTAACAAATGTTTATTGACTATTTCTTCTTGGCTCAGAGCTTGGAATGCTTTTATAAAAGAGCCCTGGCTGTTGTTTCCCAGTGGTTGGAGCATGAGTCCATGCACCCAAGAGCCTCAGGTTTGATTCCCGATCAAGGGCACGTATCTGGGTTGCAGATTCGATCCTCAGCCCCCATTCCCCAGCCCTGGTTGCAGGAGCCAACCAAACACTGTGTCTGTCTCACATCAATGTTTCTCTCTCTCTCTCCCTCTCTCTCTCTCTCCCCCCTCTCTCCACCTCTACCTCCCTTGCACTTTCTCTAAAAATCAATGGAAAAAATATCCTTGGGTGAGGATTAACAAACAAACGAACAAACAAAAAGAGAGATTTTTTGATGAGTTCTAATTTGGACACTAACAGATTCAGCTCTATCACTTCTGCCTGGGTCACAAATGACAGACTTCTGTTTTTAGGGTGACTTTCTCACTGCAGCGAGTGGCCATCATGAAATTCATTCAGTTCAGTAGCTTCCCTAAGAATAAAACTAGAACTGGTTTACTATTCTGCATTTGGAGCATTCAGAACAATATTTTGGAGATAGTCATGGAGGTATGTTTTGTTTTAGCAATCAGAAAACTTATGGGAAAGAGAAAGAATGTAGAAGAGAAATTCGAGAGAAGAAATATCATCAAGGACTATTCTGATTATGCATCACAGGTCTATGGACCTCTGTCTCGCCTTGGCCGTTTCCCAGACAATGATGAGGACGTTGTAGTAAAAAATCACTATCTCAACACCTATGAAGGTAAACAATTTACATAATTACAAGTTCAGTATAAATTAAATACATAATTTATGTATATATATATATACCTCCTGAGGAGGAGAGTCTTCCTATGCCTTGATATGAGCAGTACTTTAAATATTTTATACTAGTGATTAAGATTATCTATTGTGATTCTCAATTGGCAGCAAAATACACCACTGTCAGATTAGCTAAACAAATAAAAGATTGCATAGTTCAGTAGTGGTGGAAAAAAGAAATATAAGTTAAATATATAAAACATAACTTAGATCAAAAGCTAAACAACAAATAAAAATACTTGCAAGAAAAAGTAATTAATATATTTAATATTATTAATAATAGGAGTTGATACAAACTAATAAAAACTACTAAGACCCACATAAATAGATACACTATACAACCGTTTATCAAGGAGTAAAGTCAATTAACTACTAAACATTAAAACACATTGAATGTTACTAATCATCAAAGTTATGCAAAAATGAAATAGAAAAAGATTTTATATCAGGTTTATAAAGCAAAGAAATATATAATGAAATCAGTCTTTTAAAAAGAAATGCCAGAAAACAAGTAGGCAAGGGGATGGAAAACCAGGGGTTAAATTCATGGAGAGAATTATTTCTGTTATACCATTCAAGAGAGGCCTTTATTTAAATTACTTAAATTTCAGTTGACAAGTTGAAGCATCACGTGGCCAAGATCATGAGTTGATGGTCATAATATTGAATGTGTAGCTCTGGCTGATCATCTCCAGAGCAGAATATGATAAATTGGTATACATCCACTTTAGAATGGTGACATGTATCATATGATCATTAATTTTCTGTTGGTTATTATTGTGGAGTTTATTTTTTCAGGGCAATGTTTTCGCTTTAGAATGCATTTCTCATTTTTAGTATAAGTCACTGAGAACATGAATTTATACAGAAATTTGCTTTACACTTTGGGGGTGATTCAGTTATATGAGATACACCTTATCAATGATTCTCAATGAGACCACTTGGCAAGCAACTGATAAAATTAACAATATGCTTTCAAAATGCTAACTTTAAGCACCAGATACTAAAAAGATGTGCTTCCTTCCGATAGGATTAGTTGAACTTGAGTCCTGTCTCCCAGATTTTGTGACACAGCCCCGAATCAAAGCTCCAAAACCTAAAGTCACAACCACCAAAGCTGGCTTTCTAAAGAGGGCGGCAAAGCTGGAGCACGAGTTGGCAGAGGTTCATAAGGTATAAGCCTCATCTGGGAAACAAGACGCTTCTAGGGTGACTTTTGCAGAAAATACTACCCTGCAAACATTGTACTTTGTCTTGGGCTGCAAAGTCCAGTAGTTCTCAACACACAGCCCTTCATTCCACCCCCTCTCTAGACTTCTCTCTCTGGAGGTTGTCTGTGCTATGCTGAGCGTTTCCCCCCTCATTTTAAATTACTTGTAGGAAAACCTCTTCGAGGTTGTTCTTTCCATTTACAGAAGCCATGTTACGCTCTAAAAGAAGTTACATAAATTTGACACTACATTAAGGTCTAGTGTTAAGAATTAAGGTTTTAATAGGATAATATGCTCCATTTTCTCCCTTTAAGATTTGTTACCAGGGCATCATGAAGAAAGGGAGTCATGCACAACTCCTCTCTCATCTAGTTTAAAACATAACTGAATGAGAAAGTCTGATGGTCAGCCCCATCAGCCAACTACACAGCATCTACCAGTTGGGCTTTCTGTTTTGTTAATTGGATGATAGATGTACAGACTTGGGTTAGAATACCTATTTTCTCCCTTTAAGATTTGTTACCAGGGCATCATGAAGAAAGGGAGTCATGCACAACTCCTCTCTCATCTAGTTTAAAACATAACTGAATGAGAAAGTCTGATGGTCAGCCCCATCAGCCAACTACACAGCATCTACCAGTTGGGCTTTCTGTTTTGTTAATTGGATGATAGATGTACAGACTTGGGTTAGAATTTGTGGTATATGATAGTGGTGCTCAACCTTTATCACGCACCAGGACCACCTGGAGGGCTCCTTAAAACGCGTTGCTGGGTCCCACCCCCAAAGTTGCTGATTCAGTTGGTCACGGTGGGGCTGGAGTGTTGGCATTTACAAGGTTGAGGAGACGCTGATGCGGCAGGAACCACACGTTGAGACCCCCTGGTTTAGTCTATCACTGGCCCATGCATGCTTGTTTGTTCAGTTGGTCTTAGTAATAGAATCAGATAAAAATTAGGACCTTAACGATCACTCACCTATATCCATGTGCTTCTTTCCTATCTCATCTTCCATTTGCCCATTCTAAAGTCTGTTCATTATTCTCTCACTTTTTGTAAGATTTTTTAAATACTCCTTATCAGGGTATGGAAGTTCCCTTCCATTCTTAATTTACTGAAGCTTTAAATCATGTGTTTCTGTTGAATTTTATTAAATGTTTTGTCTGCATTTATTGAGCTAATTATGAAAAATCTTTTCCTTTTAAAGTTATTATTGTATTAAGGAAGAGTTATCGTTTCTGGGTGTTTTTTTTAATTAAATATTTATTCAGATTATTACAGTTGTTCCTCTTTTTCCCCCCATAGCTCCCCTCCACCCGGTTCCCACCCCACCCTCTGCCCTTACCTCCCCCATTCCCCCGCCCCCACTGTCCTCATCCATAGGTGTACGCTTTTTGTCACCAGGTCAAAGGTCATACACATGGAAAATGTAGCTATTTCCATCCGCAACGTGTCCCTGTGCTCGGAAAGGTCTCTCACGACTTGTTCACGCTCTACTCAGAAAGGGTACGGAGCCACGTAACGGCTTTTTAAAATAATGGGTCCTCTTATGTTTAAAATGAGGATTTTGCTACCAAAAGTGAGGAGAAAGAAACACTA